GACAAAAATTGAGGTTTTCATGAGTTCACATTAATCAAGGTATTAAAGAATCCTGAGGTGAAGTTTAATACCCCTGAGCTTATATTGGATGTATCTGTTCGCAGAGAGTTCAGATGCACCGTTGATAATTTCAAGAAATAAAATGCTGTAGCTTTTTCATTTGCAATGTGTTTCCTTTCTCCATTGTTGTTTGCATTATTGTTTAGTAGTCTTTTCTGTTACACCAAAGATCTTCATCTGGTTTGTTCTGAACTAACATGGTGAAGGCTGCAAAGAAGCCGTTTATCATGCCAAATTCTTACCACCAGAAAGGTGAGGTAGTAATGTCCAGTTCTGAACATGAGAACTAAGAATGATGTGAAGGATATTCTTTATTTAGGGCTCAGTTACCTCTTAAGAGCCACAGGAGACTGTTTCAAGGAGAAATGTAGTGCTCAATGACTTGGCTCCTCTCTCATCTGCTTCTGGGGAGTACCAAGGCCTCTTCTGTTTGCATAAGATCACTCACAGGATTCTCCTGACATACTCTCCAAGGCCCTTGTCTCTCTGAGAAGTCCATTACTTTCCTTTCACTGCCTGATTTCAAGGACCTTTTGACCCCTTTTCATGTGAGCTGCATCTATCCATTCCTCCCACCTGTCCTGCTCTGAGTTATTAATGTTTCTGCCCCGTATCCCCCACCAAGCATCTTCTTCCATTTTTTTTTTTCATTGATTAGAGAAGTGGATAGTTTTCCACTTATGTGAAGAAGGGAAAAGATAAGAAGGGAAAAGGTGAGAAGGGGAGGGGTTAAAAAACAAACATCCTGTTTTATCATGATACATACTTAGAGTATTGAAGTGAGCATGCACTGGGTAGAAAAGGAAGAAAAAAATGAAGTTTGTGACATGGGAGACTCAGCAGAAGTAGAAACACATTTCTCTGGGTCTCCTGTTGGAATCTGAGCACATAAACTTTTTTGACATGCTATCTCTTTCTTAACTAGAACATCTTTGGAAAACATTTTAAGAGGTTTCAGCTGATCTTTCCATAAACAGACTTTCTGCAAACAAAACTCGTTAATTGTAGGAAATTCAAATTGAAATATTAGGGGAGAATATTGAAGGCAAGAAAGGCTCAGAGAAATGTGAAGAAAATGGAAAAATAGCTGGGTGATGGTGGCACACCCCTATAATCCCAGCACTCAGGAGGCTGAGGCAGTTGGATCTCTGTGAGTTTGAGACACTTCCTGGTTTACAGAATGGGTCCCAGGACAGCCAGAGCTACACCGAGAAAACCTGTCTTGAAACACCTAAAGAAAAAAGTGGAAAGATAAATTTAAAAAGCTGAAAGCTTCTGTAAGTCAAAGGACACAGTCAGCAAGACAAAACGGCAGACCACAGACTGGGAAATGATATTCACCAACCCCACATCTGACAGAGGGCTGATCTCCAAAATATACAAAGAACTCAAGAAGCTAGTCTCCAAAACACCAAACAATACAATTAAAAAATGGGGTACAGAACTAAATAGACAATTCTCAATAGAGGAATCTAAAATGGCTGAAAGACACATAAGAAAGTGTTCAAAATCCTTAGCCATCAGGGAAATGAAAATCAAAACAACTCTGAGATACTATCTTACTCCTGTCAGAATGGCTAAAGTCTAAAACACCAATGACAGTTCATGTTGGAGAGGATGTGGAGAAAGGAGAACACTCCACTGCTGGTGGGAGTGCCAACTTGTACAGCTACTTTGGAAATCAGTATGGCGACTCCTCAA